CACTAATGCCGCCTGTAGTGCGTTGCCATAGCGGCCTCCTTGTGCATTGATATCGGCGCCCTTCTCGAGCAGTATTTGCACTATCTTCTCATGATTACACGCTGATGCCGCCTGTAGTGCGTTGCTGTATAGGCCTCCTTGTGCATTGATATCGGCGCCCTTCTCGAGCAGTATCTGCACCGTCTTCTCATGATCACACACTAATGCCGCCTGTAGTGCGTTGCCATAGTAGCCTCCTTGTGCATTAATATCGGCGCCCTTCTCGAGCAGTATCTGCACTATCTTCTTATGATCACGCACTAATGCCGCCTGTAGTGCGTTGCCATAGCGGCCTCCTTGTGCATTGATATCGGCGCCCTTCTCGAGCAGTATTTGCACTATCTTCTCATGATTACACGCTGATGCCGCCTGTAGTGCGTTGCTGTATAGGCCTCCTTGTGCATTGATATCAGCACCCTTCTCGAGCAGTATCTGTACTATCTTCGTGTAGCCACGACACGATGCCGTGTATAGTGGGCTGTTATATCGACCTCCTTGTGCGTTGGCATCGGTGCTGTAGTCAAGTAGTATCTGCACCACCTTCTCGTGGCCATTCTCTAATGCCGCTTGTAGTGCATTGCCAAACTCGCCTCCTTGTGTGTTGACGTCGGCGCCTTTATCTAGCAGTATCTTCACCATCTCTTGAGAGCCATAGTATGATGATATCTGTAAGGCAGACCCATATCTTCCACAAGGTGTGTTAATAGCGTCTGACAAATTAAGCAAAGCTGTAAGCAAGTGTGAATATTTTCGTTCGGCAACAAAGTATATCAAAGTCACATTAGGCTTGACCTTCTTGGTCTTGTACCGCTCGAGGGCGTTCCACCAGAGTCTGTAGTGGTCCAACCAGAGACCATTCGCACCAATTTGACTTTTCAGGAAATCCTGCTGAGAAATATCGCGTTTCTGCGCTTGTTCAGCGTGCTCCAGAAGATATGCAATCGCATAGTCGAGAAAGGGCCATTTTAGACGCATGGTAGATTTGAAGATATCCAGGGAGGCATTAGTCCTGTGACTGGCCTCACAATAATGTTCGAATTCCTTCGGTATATCAGTTGTTGATATACGGCGATGACATGCAATCCGCAGAACTTGATGGCTGGTACCCTCAACATTCGCGGCCAGAGCTTGGGATATCGATGCCAGACCATTCTCTTTAAGTAGGAATTCGCGAACGGTCTCGTGTATAAACTGAACCGTTACCGTTTGTGACGGGCCATCTTGGATGACTTCAACAAGACCGCGTGAATGGTTGAGGATCGATCTGGCTAGCCGCTCGGGATCGGGGATCGAGATATCCATAGCCAAAGGGCTGTGTTGGTCATCCAGCGGCTCAGAGTATTGCATTGCAACAATCAATTCTGCCGGTTGAAGTGGACGTAGGCTAAAAAGCATCCATTGAAAGAGAAGCACGCTTTTTCCGATCTCATCGCCACCTTTCTTCAAGATCTCTCGAAATAGCTCTTTAAGATTTGCTGGAATCGTTTTAAGGCAAGTTTTCATGTCCGACAAAGATGCTCCACGGTCATCAAGTGTGTTTAATATCTTTACGACAAGGACGACCCAAAGAAAGATGCCAGCTGATTTGTTGAGTATCTCGACTCGAAGCTCGTCCTTTTCATCGCCATCATTGCACGTCAGTTCCTTAGTGATGTAATAATTGATATCCTGGCCATGCTCAAGTTGATCTTCGACGACCAAGGACAGTCCTTTAGTGATGTTGATGTGGGGATAGTGACGACTGGAAAGGCAGATACGCAGTTTGCAAGAGCTGTCGGAGGCCGATGCGCGATCGGAAAGCTGTATCAGAAAGCGTATCATATCTCGCACATCATCCTCGTACTCGGCCTCGTCGAGCGCGTCGATTAGCAGACACAGTCCGAATGACTCGTTCGACTCAACAGCATCCATAAGAAATTCTTGTAATTCTTCCACCGACCATTGCTCTCCCAGTTGGCCTGGGTCTTTGAAAGCGAATTTTTCCGCAAATAAAATGCCGAGCTTTGGACATGAAGAGAGAAGGTGATGCACGACTGTGCGGTACAGACCCAAGCTTGACTTCTCAAGAGAAGCCGAAGCACGCGCGTTAAAAAAGTAAGGAACGACACTTTGCCGACCACGATCCTTGCTCTTTCGCTTACGAGCCCATTCGAGAAGAACCTTCATGAGTGTCGACTTGCCGCACCCAGGTTTACCCTTAATCCATAGAAAGCCACTGTGCTGAGCCGAGGAGTCACCCTCATACCATGTCTGGAAATGGGGATGGTGGAAGAGCCACTGGCAGGTTGACAACAGCGCTTTCCTGACGTTGTTGACACGAAAGTCGATACGCTCGAACAGAAGGGATTTAAGGAGGGAATTGTACTTATCTTCGCTCATAATCCTTGAGACGTCTCGAGAACTCTGCTCTGAGTGCTGTGTGTGACTACTCGTGCTCGCTCTGTGTGATACAACTGTGTTTTCATGCGGGAGAGTATCACTGGAGCCGAAGAAGTTCGTATTGTACGACGTTCTGGCTCGTTTTGCAGGCCTCAGCATGCTTGGTTGCCCTGTTTGTGGTCGTTGATCAGAGTCGGATGCTCGTCCAAGGAGGTCGGCAATATTATTGCACGGCGCGGGGCTATCGCACGGTCCTGATGACCAGACCTTCTCAACAGCATCAAGGCGGGCAGCGACATTGCTACCATGTCGTTTGTCGATCTTCCTCCTGAGTCGACTAAACGCGTTATCGCCCTCACCATAGTTAAGGGACATATAGACGCCGAAGATTCCCAGAAGACAATACGCACCGTCCTCTCTCTTCGTCGTCTCGCGCCCTTCTGTCCAGCGAATTTTTTCGACAACTGGGAATTGATCGAGAGATGTGCCACACAAGGCAGCGAGAGGAATGGTTGTGACCTCGTGGATCTGGTGCGCCAGCGTCTGCTTCGTACCTAAGAATTCTCCTTCCTGCGAGAAGAATTCGACGTTAGCAGGAGCTAGAAGCTCTTGCAGCGTCCATCCTCGTGTAAACCATCGACTGTTCCGGAAGTCGAGCTCCCATGTGCTCTGCTCATTGCCAATCTTGCCGCTCTCCGGGACTGTTACATCCGAAAGGTAGACATAGCACTTGGTCGCCTGTTGGTACCAGCGAAACATACTTGTAATCGCTTCGGACAGTTCAATGGTGGTTTTGTCTATACAACATGTATCCACCCAGAAATGCTTAATCTTTTCCTTTCTTGCTTGCTCGCCACAAAAAAGAATCTTGGCGTAACCCGACTTGCTCCGACCTTCACGGTTCTGTATGTCGCCGAAGGTAACTTCATCATGTTCTAGGCCCCAGGTATGGGAGAGGATCGCGTACGGAGGGATGTTCTCATTCCGATGATCAGTCAAGACGAGTTCGTTCTCGCTACCCCATGTCAATAGCCGCATCGCTGTATCGTTGTTGGCTGTCGCGTGAAGCCCTTGAAGGCCGCTCAATGGATTGCAACCACCAGCATCGGTGAACGTTCCACATCAATAACGTCAAAGATCGGCCGAAAGAAAGACGCATCGAAAGTGCCGCAACCTACTCTGTCACCCGTGCATGGCATACCACTCTTGGTGCCTGCGGCGCTTGAATTTTACACCATGCTCAGCCTCATCGAGACATTGGCAGGGTGTTTGAAGAGCCAACCTCGAATGTCACATGATTGCGCTAAAGAGTTGGGGGCTGGCGATGGCCATGTGTCAAACGATGCAGGCGTCAAGGGCTCTCGGCTTTCGAGGAGTTGGGGATACAAGTTTGCAACATTAACTACTCGGATCACGGTATAGTAGGTACAGGTAGGGGTTATTAGGGCCTGGGTTGAATTGCTCTCCCTTGACTGGATTCGGCAACGAGTGTCGCCGCAATATATTGTATAGCGCGCTTGGTGCTGTACAGAATAACTTGTTCAATAATTCTGTCAGGCGATTGTCATCAATGCAGCGTCGTATGGAGCCTCAGGTATATTTGGTAAGCGCACCCCAAGTTCAGCGCATGTCCACAACACTAAGATACTCATGTCAGACTCCTCAATTAAGTCCGAAGTTACATGTAGTCCGGCGGGACTCTTGGCACATAGGTATACATGTTTCCCATCATGTCCAGCGGGTCCCTAGTAATCAGTGATCGAAGTAGTCATCCGAGCACAGTCACTCGGTACCCGTAGAGTGAGTGGCTACAAAGTACAACCCGTACTCGTATTGTACCTCGGTAGGTAGTCACAGGTAAGTTGCGTAGCCATAGACGCGCACGTGTCTGACATGGTCATTTGAAAAGATCGAAAAGGGACTGAGCAATTAATGACATGGGACGGCGTTCTTTCGGGAATCCTTTTCGAGCTTACGTATGATGATGATGATCTACGTACAGGACCTACTGTACCTCAGCTAAACCTAGGTATTGTATCCGTATGTACGGAGCACTCGTACAGTAGGTACGAGTACCGGGGCAAATCAACCAATACTGGTGGTGGTACTGCTCCATATTGTGCCTTGATCCGTACGGGGTCCTCGTACAGAGCTACCTTACTGTACAACACTTTCCCTCAGGGTGCTCATCTCTTTTCCTCTTAGTAATAATAGCCAGTTACTCGTACTACGAGTTAACTAGATCTTGTTAAACATTTAAGCAGTCCATCTCATCCGTGAGTCCCGTCCATTCAGGATCTTGCAGACTCTTTCCCGAAAAGCGCGCCTACTTGTATAGGTACTCGCACAACGGCGGATACACGACTCGGGTTTGCTCGTAATAACAACTCGGGTCACGTCATCGCCTTGACCCGATCAGTCCAGCGAGCCCACCAGCAGATCCAACAGTTCTTGCCTCCCGACTGGACGTGCGGTATCTGTGAGAATAGCTGCCCGAGGGAAGATGGCTGGCTCGTGGGTTCCCATAATTGAAAAAAAAAATAATAACCTACGAGGTACAGTGGCTATCCGAGTTGTCTTCCTGCAATAGGCTCTCTTCGGTACGAGTACGGGGTATGTAGCGTCATTGTGTAAGAACGGGGTCTGATTTCAAAGCCTCTTCTGACGGATCTTTCGCGTTGGGACATCTATCCGGCTCTGCTTAGGTCATGTTCGATACTCGTAGAATCTTCATTTTCGCCATGTACCAACCCAGATACTTAAAGTATGCAGTCGCCCGACGTTCTCCTTGCCGTGCATAAATAAAAACTCCCACTTCATCATCGTCATCATCGATCTGGTTGTGACTTTGTTCCAACAGCTTTCTACGTCCATTTCCACTTCCACTTCTATCATATTTACTCTCTCAACAACACGCAACCACCCCACCGACACCTGTTCACTCTCTCGCGAATAAAACTGATTCCACCACCATGGGTTCCATAGACCAGAGACCACTTATAGTCAACAAGCCCGCCGAGGGCATATCCTACTTCACACCCGCGCAGGTGCCTCCCGCCGGAACTGCCAAAGATCCGCAATCCGACAACCATCCCATCCCCAAGATATTCCAGCCTCTGACGATCCGAGGCGTCACGTTCCAGAACCGCATCTGGCTTTCACCTCTGTGCCAGTACTCTGCGCAGGATGGCCACGTGACCGACTGGCATCTGACGCATCTCGGCGGCATCATCCAACGCGGGCCAGGCCTCACCATGGTCGAAGCGACCGCCGTGACGCCCGAGGGCCGCATCACACCTGAAGACAGCGGCCTGTGGCAAGACAGCCAGATCGCACCTCTCAGACGCATCGTCGAGTTCGCTCACGGCCAGTCGCAAAAGATCGCCATCCAGATCGCCCACGCCGGCCGGAAAGCCAGCACCGTCGCCCCCTGGCTCAGTCTCGGCGACACCGCTCGGCCTGAGGCCAACGGCTGGCCGGACGACACGGTCGCACCCAGTGCGATCGCCTTTTCGCCGACCTTCCCGCACCCCAACGCGCTGACGCTCGAGGGCATCCAGCGCATCAAGGACGACTTTGTGGCCACTGCGAAGCGCGCAGTCGAGGCTGGATTCGACGTCATCGAGATCCACAACGCCCACGGCTACCTGCTGCACGAGTTCCTCAGCCCCGTGAGCAACAAGCGCACAGATGCCTACGGAGGCTCGTGGGAGAACAGGACACGCTTGACGCGCGAGGTGGTCAAGGCGGTCCGCGCGGCTATCCCGGCCGACATGCCGCTTTTCTTGAGAATCAGCGCCGACGACTGGCTTGAAGGCCAGGATGAGTTCCCGGAGTCTTGGACGCTGAAGGACACGGTCAAGCTTGCGCCAATCCTCGCGGATCTGGGCGTCGACTTGCTGGACACCAGTTCCGGCGGTGTCCACCCAAGTCAGAAGATCAAGGGTGGTCCGGGATACCAGGCGCCGTTCTCAAGGGCGGTCAAGGACGCCGTCGGAGATAAGATGCTAGTCACGGCTGTCGGATCGATCACGAACGGACCACAAGCCGAGGAGATTGCGCAGTCAGGCGTTGATGGTATCTTCGTGGGGAGATTCTTCCAGAAGAATCCAGGTCTGGTTTGGACCTTTGCAGAGGAGTTGGGAACCGAGATTCATGTCGCGAACCAGATTGGCTGGGGATTTGGAGGGCGTGCAGGTGGCAAGGGAAAGCATTAGAGGAAGTCGTGTTGAACAAGGCGGCGCCTGGTCTTGCACTACGGTGAGGTTTCAAATGTTTCAAATATTTCTTTGGGGGGAATAGAAAGCGATGGCGTTGAGTGTATCAGGTGCAGTAGACGAGTATTTAGATGTACTCTGCGGAGCGAAATGGATACACGAAGAAACCGCAATCGCATTGTGACGACATACGTACAATGCCTCCACGCAGTATTCCACAGGTTGAGAATGGTTCGAATGATCAAACGAAGATTTCCTATCTCGATAATTGCAATCTCTTTGTGCAGCTGGAAATGCACTTCGAGGTACCTTCGGGGAAAGGAAACTATCCAGAGCACCAGTATATGCAGAGGTGACTTCGCGGGTTGCTCTGGAGCGGCGACTTGATAGTCGTCCGTGTTTGAAGATGGTTGAATTTTGTGTTAGCAATTTGCTGATGTTCTGCTTTTCAGTAGTTCCCTTGAGCAATCTGGAGACCATATCTATACAACTAATTCAAGTACGAGTTGCAGGAGAAAACTCACTCCTGCCAAACTGTATTGTAATTTGTGTGGCACAGAAGAGTCTTGGGGAGTGGTGTAAGATCCAACAAACCTCTATAGGGATAGACCAAAACTGCACCCGCGCCATGCGAGCAGATTTCTGTGAAGAATTTGAGAAACGCACTTCTGATCTCTCTCTCGAAACGTGTGACAATTTCGCAAAGTGTGAGGTTGTGGAACTGATTGCCGCAGTAGACCTGTCAGAGATTATGCGTTCGGAAAAATACGCAGGCAGTGTGAAATGTAGAAAGCACAAGGCTGCTATGCACCAGCAAATTTGATGTTGCTACGGGGTAAACGTCAAGGGAACCTTGCCGTACTGTAGCTTGCCCTTGATTGTTTGGTGTTTGGTATGATAATAAAAGGTGGAAAGCAGGCCAAGTATGGAGTCGACCGTAAAAGACTCTGCTCTGTCCACAGCCCGCAAACCACGGACCTTTTCTCATGTGGGTACTGGACCGAGCCGCAGATTGCAAACCAAATGGCAAAACCTTCTCGGGATCGATGAGTTTTTTTGCTTCGAATGACAGCTTCCGTCGACAAGTCTGTAACTCGGAGAAAGGAATTGTGGTTCCCTTCGTGTCCAACTGTTGATGCTGGCTTACAGCGGATGTCCTCAGAGGCCATCCGGAAATACGACAAAAAAAGACGAGAAAAACACTGAACTTTCATTGGAGAGAACCCTGGCCTGTGTTGATTAAAGCGCCTCATCTGTTTCAGGACATCCATGGAATGCCCACTGTGGACCGGCCACAGTGACAGGAAGCGATTTCGAGGCTTGCATCTTGTGACTTTTCTCCATGTATCATTGAACTTTGCATTGTTTTATCAAAAAGTCTGTAAGAATAGAGCATTCAACCTGTCTGAGGTGTGTCCGTTCAAGGTTGCCTTGTGCTTGGGAGGGACACGTGGAGGAGGCAGTGCGGGCCGTCAAGAATGCTGTATCCAGGCGGTGATCGGCTGAAGATCAGGCTGTGATCATCAGGCAAAATATCGATATTAGGAATTGGCTGTTATCGATTGACCGGGGAAGCCGCAAGTCTGTACGGGAGTGACCACTTAGCAGATGGTGGTGGAGATGGTAGGATCAGGCTGGGGCGGTGACAATGCTCCATGCATGCAGGAGCTGCGTAACTCAAAGCAGAAGATCAAGGCACAGGCGTAGCTAGGCAGTTGGCGCGCAGCATGAGTACGAGAAACGGCGAGTTGTGACCGCATCCTGCGTTTTCTGGCGTAATTGTTGTCTGTAGGTGGGCGAAACAGCCTGGGGGCAGCCTGTCACCGAAACTATCGTCGACAATGAAATGGACTCGTGTGGAGAGAGCCTACTCGTTCGTACTCGTACATGCTACAGAGTACTCTGCCACAGGGACGTAAGGCCAGGATCATGCTGTGGATCAGGCTACTCGTATTGTGCTCCAGGGGCGGAGAATTGCGTTGCGGTTGGGTAGCCTGGAGTACAATACAAGTAGTCCACATCATGGAGAGGGCGACGAGGGAGTTTTTTGTGGCTCTCTGTCTGAGCGATCGTTGATGATGGGATTGCAGGAGAAACTACTCATACAAGCAAGCGAGTAGAGAGGTTGGATGCCCGACGCAAACTGAACTGCGTGGCAAGGCAACTGGCGCAGTGAGGGCTAGTTAGTTAGTGGACGTGTAGTGAGCACTTGAGGTACAGCTAATAACACGTCTGCGAACCCTCGGTACGGATATCTGGGGGTACCAAAGAAGTAAGGGTGGATGGCAGTGACAGCAACAGCCAAACAGTCCGGGCCCTGTGGCCTTTTTTCTCAGGCTGTGCAAGCAAAAGTAGAGAGATCCACGAGTGCCGTTCGTTGTTGTTGTGGTGTGCTAGCTTCGCTACTGTGCTGCGTTGTGCGTGCAGAGTGTTGGGTACGAGTACAATACCAGGCAGTGCTGTGATCTGCTCGCTGCACAACAAATCTAGACCGACCGCAAGCCACCTCTTCTTCACCTCTTCACCTCTCTCCCTCCGACGTCCTGCGGCGCATCCAGGATCCCGAGAAGCAGAAGATGCTTGTTATTGTCCACGCTGTCCAGCACCCTTGACAGCTACCTGGCCCGCGCGTCTGTACCTGGCTAAGCGCCACCCCCGAAGTTGTGTGCCTCATTCTCGCCCACCCCGTCGCGAGTCAGAGGCGTGGTTGGCTCCAAGTTGCCCGCTTTCCTGCCAACTTCAACAACCTTCCAGTTCAAAACATGAACTCCGACATCCTTCCTGACGCCTCTGCTCCGACGAAACGACGTCGAGCAACACTCACCAAGAACCCTCCTCCATCCGCCTATCCCTCCAAGCTTCCTTCGTTACGCAAACCTCAGTCGTCGGCCACTCTGCAGCGAGCACCGTCAGCTCCGTCGCCTTACCCGCGTGGTTCTCCAGCAGCCACTTACTCTGCCCGCGACTTTCACCACCGATCTCAGTCCAGCGCCTACGCCTCGTCCTCATCTCTTGATCAGTACACCACGAATCCTTCGCCCATCATTCCATCCCACGAGTTCTTCGCGCCTACCACCGGCGACACCTATCTCCCACCGCAGACCTATCCTCCCACTCCGCTGGGCTCGGATGACCGTCACAACGACTTGATAGGCGCGCCGTTTGACGCTTCAGGCCTCTTATCATCCTTGCAGACTGCGGGTCTCAACAGAGGGCAAAATGATATGATGCAGGCCTCACAATCTCCGCAGCTCTCTCGTAACCATACGAGTGTAGAATCTCGTACTCCTTCGGGAGGGACATCTCAGATGTCGAGATCTTCTGGTATTGCCATGATGGAAGTCACGCCTCCCAAATCGGACGCCGGCATTCTGAGTCCAAAGAGATTCTCCGGCGACGGCTCTAAACCACCAGGGCCATTTCGCAAGAAGAGCGGCTTCTCAAGTTTTATGAACAATATGCTTGGGTCGCCCAGGACCATCAAGATCTCCGCCCCGGAAAATCCTATGCACATGATTCATGTAGGCTATGACAACCAGACCGGCCAGTTTACGGTAGGCTATAACACACTACATCTCTCACTGAGTTATCAGCTAACTCTCACCTAGGGCCTTCCTGCGGACTGGCAGAGAATACTATCTGACAGTGGCATCCCCAAGAATGAGCAGGACCAGAATCCACAGATGATGATGAACATTGTGGAAACATACAAGAGCAATTTCGGGGGTGGATTTGATGACGGCGTTTGGCAAAAGTTTGACCATGCGAAACTGTCTGACTCGCCTCAAAGCAGCAGCAGTAGTTACCAAAGTCCGGTGGCCACATCACCTAACATCAATCCCGCTACGTATTCGCCCATCGCTGGAGTCATATCCCCGCCCGCAAGCCCACGGTTTCCTCAAAATCATGAAGGCAGCTTCGAGAACCCTCGCGCCCCCCCGCCAATACCAAAAGGTCCTCCGGCCAGCGCAATTGGCTCCAAGCCTGCTCCCTCACCTGCTCTCATGATGCCGAATAGACCTGCACCAAAGCCACCTACGCAGAATCTACGGGACTTGGCCCCAGTTCGGCCTGCACCTCCTCCGCCGATGAAGCATGACATCGTGATACGGCAACCCCCGAAACCACAGAGTCCAGCTGTCACCGTGCCAACATCCTCACCACAGGCCTCGCAAGAAGAAACATTCAGTCGCTCAAATTCCACAAAACCCCGAACCTCATCCCCTCCACGGCCCTCGCAACCCGTACAGTCTCCTGCCCAGTATCAACAACAACAAGAGCAAGCGATGTTGATCGCGCAACAAGCCATTCAAAGCAAACAGCTCGACCGCAGCCGAAGTCAACGCCAAGTTGCACCGGATGCGCCTGAAGTTCCACCGAAGATCCTACCTCAGAAATATAGCCCTCACGTACCTCAAACCCAGTTTGCTGCCGCGGCCGACTCGTCAAACTTACAAGGGCAGGCACAGGTAGCGAAAGTGGGCCCGGTCCCAGGTCCTAGGCCTCGAGCGAGACGACAACAAAGCAATATTATCGATGTTACTGCCAGGCTGCAGGCTATTTGTACCCCGGGCGATCCAACGATGAGATACAGCAATCTCAACAAGATTGGTCAAGGCGCTTCGGGAGGAGTTTTTACTGCCTTTGAAGTTGGAAGCAAACGGTGTGTTGCAATAAAACAAATGAACCTGGAACAACAGCCAAAGAAAGATTTGATCATCAACGAGATCATCGTCATGAAAGATAGTAAGCACAAGAACATTGTCAATTTCATCGATAGTTATCTACATGAGGGCGACCTGTGGGTGGTGATGGAATACATGCAAGGAGGCAGTTTGACCGACGTCGTGACCTTCAATGTGATGAGCGAGGCACAAATTGCGGCGGTCTGCAGAGAAGTAAGTGATACCTCAAGGCTGAACCTGAGACATGCTAATTGGTCTTAGACACTGTATGGCCTCCAGCACCTGCACTCCAAGAACGTCATTCATAGGGATATCAAATCCGACAATATCCTCCTCTCTGAAAGAGGCGACATCAAACTGACCGATTTTGGCTTTTGTGCGCAAATCAACGACACCCAGAATAAGCGAACAACAATGGTGGGAACTCCATATTGGATGGCCCCAGAAGTTGTGACTCGCAAAGAATACGGTCGAAAGGTTGATATCTGGAGTTTGGGCATCATGGCTATCGAAATGATCGAAGGAGAGCCGCCTTACCTTACAGAGTCGCCCCTGCGAGCGTTGTATCTGATTGCAAAGTACGGCACGCCAAAAATCAAGAACGAGGCCGATTTGTCACCGATTTTCCGGGATTTCCTTCATTTTGCTCTGAAGGTAGAGCCGGAGAAACGAGCGAGTGCTCATGACCTGCTTCACGTGAGTTTATCCACGACCCTCGATCGATCCTGGCTAACCGTGCGTGTAGCATCCATTCATGCACAATTGCGCTCCCCTTACCAGCTTGGCTCCTCTTGTGCAATCGGCTCGCGAAAGTCGGGCAGCAGAAAAGGCGAACAAGGGAAACTAACGAGTTTTTATTGCCTGTGGGTTGTACAACTAATACTACACCGATTCTGGCATGTATAGGCAAGATTCGAAGCCATAGAGGTTTTTGGCCTATCCGACCACATCTCGATTACTCTGCGATTGTTACAGGCGTTGAGCATACCTTGAGACCCTATGAGAGGTCCTTGTGTTATACCTTAGCGCTGGGTGCAGGACGAGGTTTCTGCTGTTTGCTGCACCTTTTTTCCTTCATGACTTGATGGCTTGAAATGTGGTCCCGACCAGTCTTTTTACTTTTCATGTAGTCCTTCTGGACGCTGGCTTACACTTCTTTTTATACGGTCTTCTGAGGAAGCTTATGATTCCATGATGGGCACGGAGTTCTTGGTCAGATATCGGATGCTATGGCCGATTCCTTGCTCGGGTTCTAGCGAACGCTTCAGCGATATATCTAGAGGTCTTTACTGCGTAACATGGAGTATGGTCATGTACCTACCTCAACGCGTAAATGAAAAAGAGAAGAGAACCTTCATCAAAACAACTGCACAAACACTGTTCGGGTACGCAGTCGTCGTGATCGTCCATCGTAATGCTTGTGTGGCTGTGCTTAGACTCGCTCGGTGTGGCTGACTTTCGCCCGGCTTTTGCCTTTGCGTCACTCCTTCGACTCCATCTCCAACCCAGGTGATTAGGCTGCGGCCAACAAGTACGAGAATCGCTTTCTGAAGACAACTCAAGGGACCACGTTCTTCTTTCTTTCTCAAGCGCTATTTTCGGCTTTGAATTATATCTACGACACCCGAAGCGACTGTCTATCCTGCCTCGCCCAACATGTTCCGGGCGCAGCAGAACGCTTTTGATGATGTTGTCGGTAAGCTTCATCGGACCCGTGATGCTGCCTCGAAACTGATTGTGCTCTAGCCAAGGCGACTGACGAGAACCTGACGTCTGAGAACTGGGAATTCATCCTCGACGTATGCGATAAGGTGTCCGCAAGCGATAGTGGCGCGAAGGATGTCGTGGCTGCTATGATCAAGAGACTGGCCCATCGAAATGCCAATGTCCAGCTTTATACACTCGAACTTGCGAACTCGCTGGCGCAGAACTGTGGAGTGGCCATGCACAGAGAACTTGCGTCAAGGAGTTTTACAGATGCTCTACTGCGGCTGGCGAATGACAGGGTAGGTGGCTGAGACCGTTGTGCTGCCAGATCCAGGGTACCTGACAAATCTAGAACACACATCAGCAAGTCAAGTCGAAGATCCTGGAGCGCATGGAGTCCTGGTCGAAAGACTTCTCGAGCAACACTGAACTAGGGATCATGGAACAAGCATACCTGAGGCTAAAGGCCCAAAGTGAGTTGGATCGCTCGAAATGGCAGAAGCGAGAACTAACGCTATCTAGATCCCAACTTACAACCTCCGCAAGCCCCTGTCAAGAAGCAGATAACCGACTACGACCGACAAAAGGAGGAAGAAGAACTTCAAATGGCCCTCAAGCTATCCATACAAGATAAATCCGTACCCTCGCCAGCCGCTCAGGCGTCCGGCTCGGCGGCAGAATTGTCAGCACAGCCAGCCTCATCAGCACAACAACCAGTGCACCAACCGGTTCCCTCAGGTACAACCGCTGCGACCGTGTCCCGAGTACGAGCCCTGTTCGACTTTCAACCTTCAGAGCCGGGAGAATTACAATTCCGTAAGGGAGATGTTATTGCGGTGCTGGAGTCGGTTTATAAAGATTGGTGGAAGGGGTCGCTGAGAGGTCAAACTGGCATTTTCCCACTCAACTACGTCGAAAAGCTGCAAGATCCTACTCCTGAAGAACTACAAAAAGAGGCGCAGATGGAGGCAGAGGTTTTCGGACAGATCAAGAATGTTGAGAAATTGCTGGCTCTATTGAGCACCAGCACAGGCGACACAAACGTCCGAGACAACGAAGAGATAACGGAGCTATACCACAGCACTTTATCAATTAGGCCAAAGTTGATCGAGTTGATCGGGAAGTATACGCAAAAGAAAGGTAAGCTTGCAAGAACGGGTAAACACGAATCAAAGCTAACATTTGTACAGATGACTTTCAGCAACTGAATGAGAAATTTATCAAGGCTCGGAGGGACTACGAGGCCTTGCTTGAGACGTCGATGGCTCATTCAGCACAAGCGTATGCTCGGCCCAGTCCGGCTGCTTACGGCTATGGAGGAGGTCCTCCGCCACAAGGCTATCCTCCACAGAGATTCTATACTCCGGGTTAGTACAAGAGCTCGAATATTTTGTATGTTGTTTCTAAGATTCAATCTTCAGATGGTCAGCCTCCCAACAACGCTGTGCCGTATGGCAATCCGACACCATTTCAACCTCCTTACCCCGTCGCATCACCACCTCCTCATAGCCGTACTCCAGCGAATCAGCCACCATCGCAGCCTCCCCCCGACAGTAATTATCCCTCCTACCCATCCGCTCCAGTTCGCCGACAATCTCAGCCTGAACAATACGCGGCATATGCCCCCCCGTCGGATGGCCGTCCACTGACACAAGCACAATACCCGGGCGTCCAACCTCCGAACATCACACAGCTACAGCACCAGGAAGAGACCTATTCACCGTCGAACTATTCCTCGGAAGACCTACACGCTCAGAGAGTGTCGCCTCCGCCTCAAACGCAGCCCCCGCAGCAGCAACAGCCATATCCTCCTCCGATGAACACAAGCTACGCACCTGCTCAAGCGCCGTCAGCACCTTCTCAACCGCCGTACGACTACTCGCAACAGCAGCTGCCCCCGCCACAGGCCAACGTTTCACAACCTCCTGCTCCAAGTCACGGCCCACCGTCCGTCCCAGGTGTCAGTGCAGCTCCTGATCGACCCTTGACACCTCTTGCGCAAGCATCCCCATACCCTGTCTTCCCACCGGCTTCCGGCACTAACCTCCCCAATCAACAATATCAAGCGTACAATCAGCGGCCGACGAGTGTAGCAGCGGTGCCACAGGCTCCCGGCGTGGGGGCTGGAGACCAAGGACGCTACAGTTACTACAGATAGCACGGGTTTGTACCATTTGCCACTTTGCGGTTTACTCGGTGGTCAGAAGCGGCTTATATGGAACGGAGTTACCTCAGGAAGCAAGCGTCGACTTTTGTTATGCCAATGGGAAGACTCTTGGGACAGTCTTTCTGGGATATAGTCTTACTACGGTCGTGCTCAGGTATCGGAGGTTTCGGCGTGGCTCTAGTTAGTTGACCTTGGTATAGGTACGTATCTGCAATTAGCGAGACGTTGAACCGGTAATTCCTGGTACGATCGCATCTACGAAGACGGGTAACGTCGTCATTTTGCAAAGATTGCTTTCTATAGTCAATTGCCATCGTGCACGACACACCACCATGAACAAGCGGCCGGACGGGGCAACCACTAGAATGTGTACGCTTCGAGCCGCTTTACGAGGGGTCATATCATGGCCCACTGCCCGAGATGCTTTGCGTTAGTAGACGTTAGGTACACTTGTTGATCCTTTAGCAAGCCGAGCCGAGCAAATGGTTCTTCGCACGGCTACAGGTTGTTTAATCTAGGTCGCGACAACAGAGAAGTGAACACCATGGATGTTGCCTCGATGGGGGGTTGCGTAGCTGGGCGCAAAGATGTGTATTTCGTCTCGTCTAGTAGATAGATTTGCAAAAGCACGCCGTCGTTCATTCCGCCAGCCCTAGGGGGACGTACAAAAATAAACAGAGTCCTCTCCTTTGTTTGTGCATGGAATCCCCTGGCTTTGACACACCAGGATGCTTGCAGTTTGAATTACCGCCTGATGGCTCCGAGTCGGGAGTGGGTTTTCTCACAAGTAGCAGCAAAAAAAAAGTCACCCTTTCTGTCTTCTAACCTCCTCTTTCTCTCTCTACGCCTTATGCGTGTGCTCTTTCGATTCCTGCCCCTAACCCGTACAAAGAATTTATTTGCCCTCTTGGGATTGCATGTATGTGTATCCGAAGTATGCAGCAGCTGCACCAGCGAGAAGGACAATGTACATGGCGACGCCCAGTCCAGTGCCAGCATCTGATTTTCCACCGGGACCGGCCGAGATCTTGTCGGTGGCGCCGATCTTGGGGGCAGGGTCGCCGGGGACTCGCTTCAGGTTACCGACCAGGAGACCGTCTAGGATCTCGCGGGCTTCGTCTGAGTGGCCGACATCTTCAAAGGCTTCGGTTGCGTCTTGGCCGCCGACGTCGAGGAGGACTTCTTCACCGCCGCTGCAACACACGCAAACGTCAGTCCAGATTGATCAGCTCCTCTCGAATAGCTGATGGGATCTGTCCTCCATGTCCCGGACATTGAACAAGACACTCAATCTCGACTGTTCAATGTGGGGCAAGGAAAGGGTGGGGAGGGGGCAGGGGAAGAAAGATATTTTGTGACTTTTTTTCTCGAGGAATTGGGGGGGATGAAGATTGGCCCAGGCCCAGATGGACTTACGGATGCTCGTCGACGAAGGAAGAGGCGTTGTAGACCTTGTCGTGGACGACAATGTAGAGATCTTTCTTGGTGCTGTGTTTGGACACCTCGGCGTAGGTGAGTTCCGAAGACATGGTTGACGGGGAAGAACGGGACGGGGATGGCGGTGAAGCGACGAAGGTCGGGCGAAGCTGAGCACAACTCTAGTTGGCGATGGACGAACAAAGCGCACGAAGAGAGAGGATGTCGATGGTATTGCAGAAGGAAGCGCAGTATGGACGGGAAGCGAGAGGAAGATGCCAGAACGGAGCAAACAATAATAATTTAATCAAGATGGCACCTGTTGGCTCTGCCCTTCTCGGTGGTCTGCCTGTCCCAGTTGACCGTGGCCGACCCTCGATTGAGCTGGGGCGATCGCTAACGTCGTTCCTCGCTCCCCTTCCGCAGCAGCACCGGCCAATGGCAGCGTGCCCGATCAGGGACGCCGTGGTGCCGCCTGCGCTGACCTGCTTATCCCCCGTCTACGGGCTTGCAAAGAAAACAGTCGTGGGGCCACCACGGGAACTAGTTGCCTACGAGGGCGGCTTCGAGCACAGCAGTCGGCACCACGAATCGGAAGAGGGTTGTTTCTAAGGGGACCCGAGGACGGGAATTCTCGCCATCTTCCACGGAGTAGTGGTATTATCTATACTGGAGATACTCGTAGGAGCCAGGATTTCTTGCCCCGAAGTCGCCTTCTTTGTCCATCTCTGCTCCCCACATGCCCTTCCGGACCGCCTGCTGCTCCGACCGGGTGCGCTCAATTCCGCGTCGACAGTGTCATTAAATGTACATTCACGTTATACCATTCACGATTCACGTCGGTGGCAGGTGGCCGAGAAAACTCAGTAGTACTCGCGCCCAGAAGTCTCGCATTATTGCACCATTCTCGCTTGTCCGAATACTTGTCCGTGCAACTCCGTGCTTCGTATCTCAACGCGTGCTGCAGAAAGCTCAAGTCACGTGTCGACGCGCTTCGTGATCTTTTTTTTTGTTGACTGCGCGCTCGTTAAACCCCGCCTTCGATGATGTTCACAGCGAAACCGTACATCTACATCCTCTAACAAACTCTTCGCATCCCCAAAACACACCGGAACCCCCTTACAATGTCTAGGGCCACTCGATGCCAAAATGCCGTCGCATATTGTCTACAGTAACGTCCATCGTGGTGATGATCCGGATCCCGAGGGCGATGGTGACAACCGCGGAAACCACGCCGGAAGTGGCACGCTCTTCGCTGGCCAGAAACTGTGGTTCTCTCACTCGGTTCCTCAGCGCAAATGGCTCCTCGAGAACGCCCGGAACAACGGTGCCGTCATCGTCAATGTAGACACCAATGCGGACGTCAAGCTTGTCGACCACACGAGAAAGAACCAGCCTGTCGGAGCGTATTCTTACAAGTACGTTGAGTTGTCGATTCGGCGGGGGCGGCTGGAAAACCTTGCGGACCATGCAGTTGGCGTTGCTACCAGGGCCGCGAGACCTGTTGGGAGCACTGCCACCGCTCCCAGAGGATCAAGAGTGCCCTACACGGAAGAAGACGATCAGTTTCTGTGGAATTGGATGAAGCCTTTCGAAGACAGTGGAGGAGCATACAAAGGAAACGAGATCTACAAGCAAATCGAGCAGGTCAATCCACGTCACACTTTCCAGAGTTGGCGAGATAGATGGTTAAAAGCCACTCGGTTCCAGAACAGACAGGTGACGAAGTCCGTCGAGTCGGTGTCGCAAGAAAGACAGAGTCCGGAAGAAGAAACCCGGCAAGCGCCATCTCTACCTGGGGGCTCCGTCCACAGAACAGATCAAGGTAGCTCCAACACAGCCACGTTATTACCTAGGAAGAGAAAGGCAGGATCCTTGTACGACGCGCCCTCTCACATACGGCCTCGACATCCAAGCGACTCTCCAACCAGGCACGCGAGCCCCGAACTGCACACTACTGCTGCTTCTGGGGGCCGGGAAACGTTACCATCGAAGCGGGATGAGCGAACGGGTCAAGATGCTGTGTTGGACGACGAACGTACTCAGAAAACCGGGCACAATGTTAGTACTCAGGACTCTCTGGAAGACGAAAAACTCCATACGGAAAATGAGAAGAGATTCTTGGATGATATCGCAGGCCCATTTTCCAAAGCAGAGTCTCTGCCACTCTACAGATTGGTTCCGAGGTTGAGCCATATGGGGCTCGAGGAATTCGACAATGTGTGGAGACAAATGGCATCGTCTGAAGACTATAAACACCATACCGCCAAACAGTGGAAACACTGGTTTGAGTATCGTGTTTTGCCAGACTATTGCAGGATAGAAAACGTGCCAATGGATCAAATTGCACCTTACATGTCTATGCGGAAAGAGGACAGCTCGACTGGTGATGGTAATGACGACGATGAGAATAACGCTGGAGATGAAGATGAAGACGAACAGCCGGCTGACGGCGACGTGGACATGAACCAGGACAAGGGGCTCGGCGAAGAGCTCGACAGGTGCACCAACTGCTACACGATGGAAGCGCAGGAGTGGCATCACGATAGGAAAGGCCGAATCTTGTGCAATCCATGTGCCGTCTTCTTGAGGACGCACGGCGTTCCAAGACCTTCAACCATGGGCATAGTCAGATTGAATGCACCGAAGGAAGATCAGAACCCAGATCCGGGTGTCATGCAAACGCCCCCGCGTGCATCCTCTCCTCCAAAACTTGCTATACCCCCTATTATCGCCTCCATCAAAGTATCCCCCAAAATCTCACCTGCGGACGTGGGCGGTTTTGCAGGAGATGGACGGACGACACCACGGGCACAATGCCACTTACGATCTCCTTCTTTCCAACCAGAATCTCCCACACTGGTTCGAGCTCCAGAACCAAACGAAGCTAGGAAGCGAAGTACAGGACCTGGGCGCGGCTCCCAATCACAATCAACCCAGAGCACCAATGGAACTAGCAATCAAAGTAACACACAATCCTTCTCGCAGAACCCTGGGCTGACAATTGGTGAATCTCAACTGGAGGAGGTTCAAATACCTTCCAATGAGCAGACGGCAAGAATGGATAAGAGGGCCGTAAATCCTGCTCCCTCATTCAGCTTTGTAACATTCAGTAACCACCATCGACCACGCCTGCATGATGGACCAGGCGATCTCGATATCGAGCAGGAGTCGTCCCTCAGGATGGACAGAGGTCCACGCCGGGAACCACCGGTATTTCACAGCTCTACAGAGACAGATGTGTTATTGAATTCTCCCCCTTTGGCTTCGAGGAGCATTTCACGAGATTCACCTCTGCCTGTTCCAGAAGGGTTCTCACCGCTGTTCGTAGCACAGGACGAGGAAGAAGACGACCTGGAAGTACTGGAAGGGCTAAGTACGCTCCGAGAAGAGGAAGGTGAATTAGAGGATGATATTATGACGAGTCCGCTGAGGATCGACCTGATTAGCGAGGAAGACCAGTCCTCAGTAACTATGAGCGAGCCCCGTTCCGATACACAAAAAGAGCCTGGTGACGAGAGGGAGGGGTCAAACTCATACAGCACGCCAAACCACGAAACTTTGCAGAGGAACGCTCAGGAGTCGTACCAGACAAGTCGAGAGACGCTGGAACAATATGAGACAGCACCAGAACAGCAGCAGCAGCAGCCACGAAAGCGGAAGCATTCACGCGACCGACTTTCGACCCAGGCGCTGTTCGGCCAGACAGACCTTGACGAGGAGGTCTCTGCCTATCTCGAGATAGTCGAGCCCGAAGGTGGCTGGGACAGCGTTCTCGGCCCTGGCTCTGGGGCTCCGGATGCAGATGCGGAAGTAGATGTGGATGTTGGCGATGCAGGCCAACAACAACAAATACAACAAGAACAACAGCTCCCGAGTCGTCCCGAACCACTCGATACCGACAGTGCAAATGAAGCACATCGCCACGATCTAGAAAAGGACCTCCGCCCCGGCGAATTTCTCATCGATGCATGGTGCAGACGCCAGAAGCAGCGACGTCCCGACGTCCCTGACGCTTTTCTCCTCCAAGCGGCGCATTGCACCACTCAGGAATACGGACCCAGGAGTGAGGAGATGGTCGAATTTTTCCTCGAGCGGTGGCGGCTGAAGGGGCAACGTACTTTTCCTTCGTCGGCCACGTCTTCGAGGAGAAGTCGTCAGCAGCAAAAGCAGCGGCCTTCCAAGTCCGATCTCAGACCCCCCTCGGACGTACCGGGTGTATGGACCGATGAAGACGACGAGCTCCTCAAGTCCACAGACGTCTATCACAGGCGGCGACTGATCAATAAACACGGCCAGGAAGCTTGTATGCGCCGCCGCCAGTATCTCAAGGACTTTGAAGATGAGGTCGTAGGATAAATCGTACCTACCTACCTTGCATGGCTCGGACTTTGCTTGGTGGTAGTTAGTGGTGGTGGTGGTTTCCAGAAAATCGGTCCTGGAGATGCGGAGTACACAGGTAGGTATACATACCAGGCAGGGGTACTTGACCGAAAGTATACCCCTGATGTGGTATCGATATCTTATCATACCTGCCGAGAAAATGTATCGTTACGTTTGTTGAATGACTGAATGACCGGATAAATGAATGAATGAATGAATGAGCAGTTGATTCAACCCTTGCTACCTCGGGATCCGTGGGATTTCTTCCGGCGATGACAGACGCATGGCGAGCCCATGACGAGATGAGAACGGACGAGTATCATGATGTTTTCTTACGGTCTTCTGGGTTTTGTATACCGTACCACCTATCTACCCACCTTACGTTGCCTTTGCAGGAAATTTGATACCAGAAGTTCTACACTATAACTGACTCAAACCCAGCCAGCATACATACCTAGCTCGGTAGGTATACCTCCCCAGCAAGGTATAGAATGACCAATGACCATTAATCTCGATTGTACGGACGGAGTATCCATTCAAGGTAGAGAAAACACATAGCCGCCTTTGGGACCGAATATGGTCTCGCGAGCATTAATCACTTTGCAGTCGTCGCTACATCCTGGATTATTCAGTCGGGCGTTACGATTAGCCCCGACTTGGTGTCTCTTTACTGATACGGAGCACAAAGCTCTCGGTTGGTCTTCTGATATGGTCCCAGAGCGGTACCCAAGGCCAAGTTTAGTTGCCGAACGAAATTCGCTGTTTCTCTCGCCGCTACCGTTGTCCAAGGCTCCGAGCAGTGTCCTGGTCTAGAAATTCCTGCACGAGGACATTCGAACCCATATACTCGAGCATCAACAATCGACCATCTCGGGGTGAACGTTCCATTTTTGCACCCTTCGGAAGAAATGGAGTTCACCAACAACTGTGTGCTCGGAGTACCCAGGTTGTTAGCAAATTCCTCTTCAATCTCGCCTTTTTCAGCGCACATCACGCACGATCTTCCTGGGATCGAAAAGCCGCCATCACTGCTTCCCTTCCTTCCTTTTGGTATCACCTCATCGCGCCATGCGTAACCCATTTTGTCCCAGAACGAAAGCTAGCAGCTAGCCCAAAGTCAAAAGAACCTCATAAAAACCTTCCCTCACCATTGTTCGCAAAGTGGAGCAGATGATGTACATGATGTAAAGAGAGTGGCCTAAGCCAAAATACCACCAGAACTAGGAGCTCAACTAGCCGTAGATGTTAGCTTTAGGACATGCAAAAGGTGCAGGTTAGGAACTTGCTTGAACTTGAGATGGGCCTCATAAAATCTGAGCATAGGCCTAGGACAGTGCTGGTAGACCTTGTCCATGGTGACTTTTGACTTTTTGCCATTCTTAAAAAGAATGTATGCCATAAGCGTCCCGGACGCGTTGCGCTCAACGGTGTCGATCTTGTCCACTTGAGGCTCCCAGTCCTTGCCGGACGGAGTCCAGTCTTGTTCGTTAGACGCGGAGCTTCTCTTCTGCTTTTTTCGTTGCGGTTGGTCTTGTGATGCTTCGGATTTCAGTGCCTGTTTGGATTTCGTTCTCTTGACAGTATTTGCGCTTGGAGCCCCGCCGATGGTGTCATGGTAATCTTGCAGCACCTTTCGTGCATGCCTGAGAACCGTTTGTTAGTCTTCTCGGATGGAAATCAAAAGAGACCCAAGTCAGGTTAGACTGACGGCAGAAGATTTTCCTGAGGCTCCCATGTGTTCTCGGCTTCGTCGTACCCAACCCATTTGATGAGATACTCTACGATGCCTTTCCTCGTGCGATGGCCTTGTATTCCTTCTACAACGTATAAATCTTCGCCTTCGTCGTCATCACTGGTTTCGCTCCCTTCGCTGCCTTCGCTTTGCGCGCGGGAAGACCCCTTCTCAACCTCGTCGCGAAGTGTACCATTGAGCTGGTTTTTGGATGCTTTGTCTGTGGGTGGTGTGCCGTGGGTTATGTCGCCTGCACCACTACCAGCGTCGGAAAAATTATCCTCTGAGGGCTTTGTCAGTCCATGCGTGGAGCGCATGCAATTCAAAAACAGAGCGCGACATGTGGTGCCCAAGAAAGTCAATGGTCAAACGTACCGTCTCCCGACAGCGGTCGAGGCATCTCGATGAAGGCAATGGCGCGATAGATAGTCTCGACGGCGAAGCAGCAAAGCCGGCGATGACTGGGAGACTGTTACTCCGAAATTGACCATGAGGTTGCGGCAGGCTGTGGCTGGTATTGAATTCCAGGGACGGAGTACTAACTACTAACTAGCCTCAGTCGCAGATGAGATGCGATGCGCTTCCCCTACGCGACTCTCCGCGTCACGTGACTGGAATTCCCCTTAGTCATCTGTGGGCAACCGAGAGCTTCAACGAGAATGTTGCATGAGAATTCGGAAACGTCTCTGGTTGTGGTACTGTCTGGAATGGGACAGTCCTTACATCGTTTCTATGGTTGCAAGAGGCCAAGTGTGTATTGTCGAACTGATTCTAGACTATTTGCAGGTTATATCAGGGAAGAGATGTTGGTATTTCAGCCAGCTGTTGCTAGCAAAACCCTTGTCAAGGCAGCCTGCTACTGCGATATCTATCATAAAGGTGAAGATCTAGAAACTCAGTGTCTGTAGAAATATACATACAGCACATATGAACGCTCGGGGGCGAGTTGAGGCAAGGCTGCGCCGGAGCCTGATCTTGGCGGGATATCTGGCTGCGCTGCGCGTTCCCTGTCCATCATTTGGAGAAGGCCAAAAATTTCAGGTAACCATCCCACCAACATCCTGCTTCAATCCGTGCAAACGATTGCATTATTTGTATAGTCGGGAGAAACCTCTTGTTGAAGGAGGAAGGTCCCTTTCCGTCAATCGTTACCTACCAACATTCGCAACCTTGTCGAGCGTTTGAGCATATTACGAATCCAAAAGTCAAGGCTTTTCTGCGCCCAGTGGACGTCAATACTCACTAATATTGGCTCCGCGGCCTTTTTCCCAAGATGGCGATGCAAGTAGATTTGTCGCAGGCTCAACTGCTCAAGGATGAAACCGGCCGGCCATTCATCGTTGTTCGAGACCAAGGAAAGAAGAAGAGAACCCATGGCACAGACGCCGTCAAGCAGCATATTGTGGCGGCTAGGACAGTAGCCAGCATTGTCAAGACATCCTTGGGACCTCGAGGACTGGACAAGATTCTCATATCTCCCGATGGAGACATTCAGATTACAAATGACGGCCGTACGATCATGTCTGAAATGGAACTTACAAACCCGATTGCGAAATTGATGGTCGAGCTGTCGAAGTCACAAGACGAGGAGATTGGCGACGGCACTACAGGCGTGGTCGTGTTGGCAGCAGCTTTATTAGACCAGGCTGCGGACCTCATTGATAAGGGCATTCATCCAATCCGCATTGCAGATGGTTATGATCAGGCCTGTGAAGTCGCAGTTGCACAACTGGACAAGATCAGCGACGAGATACCATTTTCAAGAGAACGACAGGAAAATCTGATAAAGGTCGCCAAAACAAGTCTGGGCAGCAAAATCGTCAGCAAAGCACATGATCAATTCGCCAAAATTGCCGTGGATGCTGTCATGTCTGTTGCGGACCTGGAGCGCAAAGATGTCGACTTTGAACTTATCAAGGTCGATGGAAAGGCCGGAGGCTCGATAGAGGATTCTCTACTAGTCAAGGGTGTCATTGTGGACAAGGATTTCTCACACCCCCAGATGCCCAGCGAAGTGAAAGACGCAAAGCTTGCCATTTTAACATGCGCCTTTGAACCTCCCAAGCCGAAGACCAAGCACAAACTTGATATCTCTTCCGTGGAGGAATTCAAGAAACTGCAACAGTATGAGCAGAATAAATTCGTCGAGATGATCGATATGATCAAGGCCACCGGAGCGAATCTCGTCATCTGCCAATGGGGCTTTGATGATGAAGCAAACCATCTTCTCCTCCAAAACCATCTACCAGCCGTTCGATGGGTCGGCGGGCCTGAGATTGAGTTGATAGCCATTGCCACCAACGGAAGGATTGTCCCTCGGTTCGAGGATTTGAGCAGTGAAAAGCTGGGCAAAGCTGGTGTTGTAAGAGAAATGACTTTTGGCACCACCCGTGAAAAGATGCTGGTCATCGAAGAATGCGCAAACACTCGGGCAGTCACCGTCTTTGTGCGAGGCAGCAACAAGATGATCATTGATGAGGCAAAGAGATCATTACATGACGCACTGTGCGTGGTACGAAACCTGGTCAGAGACAACAGAGTTGTGTATGGCGGCGGTGCCGCTGAGATTGCATGCTCTCTGGCAGTGGAAGACGCGGCCAACAAATCGCCTGGCCTGGAACAATATGCCATGAGAGCATTTGCTGACGCCCTTGACGCTGTCCCTATGGCTCTCGCAGAGAACTCTGGACTGAGCCCTATCGAGACACTTGCGGCGGTCAAGTCCCGACAAGTTAAGGAGCAGAACTCACGACTGGGTGTGGATTGTATGAGCACTGGTAGCAATGGTAAGAGGCCCCCGGGAACTCGCTCTACTATCGTACTAACTATTTCCTCGTAGACATGCGGGAACACTTTGTCATTGACCCCCTGATCGGAAAGAGGTCGCAACTGTTGCTGGCGACGCAGCTGTGCCGAATGGTAAGCAAAAGGTCCCTCCAAATTGTAAGCGTCACTGACGGGTTTTTGTTTCTAGGTGCTCAAAATCAACAATGTGATCATGTCAGGAGATGACGACAACGAGTTCTAAGCTCGTTGTTGAAACTATCCAATACTCTACGGCGTCTGTTGGACCAAAAACGCATGCAATGACAAAAGGAATACATGAATCTGTATAAAAAGATACCCGGACTCGAAATGGGATAGAATCAATAAACCTCTTGACATCTCCGGTTTCTGTGTCTGCCATGCTCCCCAATCGTCCCAATCCTGTTCGACGTGATATGTCTTCTCTTTTTGAGTTTAATACCAGATGCCTTTTCTGAGAGATGTGCGAATCTCTTTCTGAATCACACTGCCTTGCTCAACACGGTCTGAAAAAAACTAGCCAGTGCCAAACTCGGTGGGTGTAGCTCGCCATATGAACCGTCGTTGATCGTCCACGTTGAAGTCTTAGACGAGCCGTGCAGCCACAGGCTCAGAAGGTGTCGGCTAGGTGCAGAAAGGGGACCGGCTATCCAATTCACCCGCCTCGCACCCCGTACGCAGGACCTCATAGATCCCTCGCAGGATTCAAGCCGAGGACGTGGTCCTCTCCTCTCGCAGAACCGTGCCCTGTTGCGAAACGACCTATGTACGATGTCACGTAATCAAACGCTTCGGACCTTACACACCTTCAAGCCCTCAGGGCCACTTCATGTCTTGTAACCTGGCTCGATTTCGCTTGTTCAAGCGACATCTTGTCTCCCACAGGACCCAACATCCGTCAACAGAAGCAGGCATAGCCCTCAAAAGCCATCTAGCATCCGTAAAACAACATTTCGATCTGTTCAAGTGTCAACACCGGTCCCCCCGTCTTGTGCTGTCATACTTGAGAACCCTGGCCATGGCCGCTGCATTCACCACCATGCCGCAACGATCCTCTGGCCCGCCCTTGGATATCAGAATCCTCGGCGGTAATGAGGGCCTGGCATCGTGTTTTTTTCCGCCTCAAGCATGACAGATGAACCTCCCTTGACCCGTTCGTCGGGCCCGCCGCGGTCGAGCACCGCTCTCCCTTTCCCCCCGAGAACCGATGCCGTCATCATGAGCTCACCTGCCAGAACTGCTCGACATCTCGTTATCCGGACGCACGTCGAGAAGGGCAGTGTCGACGACAGCAGTGATCCTTGCCGTGCTGGCATTCACCCATTAGCGGGACGAATCCAGGCAGCATTTGGCAGCGAGAATTTGCTCTCGACAAGTCCGACGAAGAAAGAGAAGGAAGAAAGGCGGAAAGCCTCATGTCAGGTTGTGTTTCGATCTCCCCAACCCACTCACACACTCACTTCGTGCTCTAGGGCTGGCAGGCTGGCCTCTGTCTCCATTACTTCTCACCGTTCTTGCTGGGCGGAATCAAACATCGCTGCGGAGTGCTGAGACGCCTCGAGGATGCGGGCGTGCGCCGCCATCGGTGCCATCATATCACTTACCCCAGGCGCCCCGGAGCAGGTGCACCTAGTTAGACAGACAATATTGCAAGCCAGCACGGGCTTGGAGAGAGGCCCAAACTTCCACTGGATCAGCGGTACGAGTACACAGTACAGGATCGTCCATTGCAGGATCAGGCAGTGTGGTCATTGTGGTCGTCGTCGTCCGCTGCAACCATCCGCCGAGGAAGCATGCCAGTGTATTCTTTTTTTTTCCTTCTCGGACACAGCCGAGTCGTGTACTCTTCTCGTGGAAATAGCCCCAGATCCCATGACAACGACGAGATCGGAGATTTACTCTTGGGGAACGAAGATGTACGTTGGTGTCACTTCTGTACCGGTACTAACTAGTGCTCGTGTGAATCGGTCCTACAATTATTGAATGGGCGCTGTGGGTGGCTGTCATGAGCGCGCGGAACATGCAAGAACCACATTACCCGGGCTTTTCTTCATCGATGATGATGTGCTCGTACTGTACGGTAAACGACGATCAACGATGGATTTTCAGATGCGCAGGCTGGGAGGGAGGTGTCGACGCTAATTGTGACCCTGCTGAGTCTGCCTCCGACTTGGGTCCTGCTTGTGATCAGGGCGCTATGGAAAAATCGAGAGCTCTGGACACCTTTTGACCCCACTGTTTGACTTGTTGAACATGTTGCTTTTGGTGTTTCTGGGGGAGGGGGGCCACCAACTACCCCGTACTCTCTCGTTTACCGAATGGTATGTAGATCTTCAGCTCAGGGCGTCGATTGCCGAGTGTGCAAACACCAACGGTGCTCGGACCGTCATGTCCCTCAGCAACGAGTGTCGTCGATCCACGGGATTGTTGGGTGAGAGTGCGAGTTACGGCACGATGATCGTGAATAGTGAATAGTGAACAGTTGAAAGGTTAATGGTGCCACTGAACCGAGGAGTGTAAAAACAGACCGACGGCCTCATGCTCCTCGCACGCGTCAGTAACTGATTGACTCGCCATCGTGCACTTTTGCGGAAAACATCGAGGTCACCTCTGAAATGGTCATGGGTTTCAAACGATCAGCAGGGGATGGGGGGGGGGCAAGGGTGGGAATGTTCTTTTTCGATCGAGTCAAGCACACACCAATACTCTTTTTTTTTAGGCCCCGTTTCTCGATTCCCATATTGTCCAGGGTGTCAAACATTGGTAATCTGTCCATGCGGTTTTTGACGTCGGGCTCAGCTGTCTTCTCGACGACGTGGGGCCTGTCACGTCGAGGTCAGTCGAGTCAGTCGAGTCAGTGTATTGTTACCTGCAAGATGTACATATGAAGAGATTTGATTGACATGGTGCAGTATGGGCACCCACCGCCCCGATCCGATCTGACCTGCAGCTACAGTAGCAGCTAAAAATGATAGATTCTCCTGTCAAATGGCAAAAGAGCCAACTACTATTGTTGGTGTGTAGTCAGTTTCAGACGCCCCCCTCCGTACTCCCCCGATTCGCGGAGCCAGGGCCCCGAAAACCGATATTTTTTGGGGTTTTTATTGCACCGACCGTTTTCCTCTTTCTGTTTTTGTTTCACCAAAAAGGCGGGGGGCAAGCGCATGGTACAGTGTACGGGTACGCATGACTACCCTTCGTGTCCTCGAACTTACCTTTGACGGGTGGGTGGTCTTGGATAGAATGGCTGTGGTTACTCGTGCTTCCGGAAGTATTGGCAATGTAATGTCCCGTCCCGAGCCCAGGTGGAACCGAGTACCTACTAGAGGTATGTGTGTCTCTTCGTCCCGACCCAGTCTGAGTTGGAGTATATGATGAGGATGACGACGGCGACGACGACGACGAGGATGAGTGGTGCCGTCCAGTCGTCCAACATCCATCCATCCATCCGTCCGTCCGTCCATTTTGTTGCGGTGGACACTCGCTCGCAACCGGACAACATAGCCAGAAGCGATGTCAACCCCATTCCCAGTGAGCGAGAGAAACTGCTATGCTGCTACTATACTCGGACAAGGACCGCTACCGTCCTCGTCCCGGGCACGAATGATAATGACCCCCCGACTCCCCCCCCCTTAGCTTTGCGTGCAGCATGCATGCCTGATGGAGTGTAGAAATACTCATGCCGGCTTCTCCGGAATTGCAACGTGTAGTGCGCCCTGGACTACCTCAGATACCTACAGGTAACTACCTAAACTAAATGTCCAATCTGTGCATCTTTGCGCTCCACGTCAGATTGATAGCACGGGCGACGACAACTTGCAAAGCTGGCTGGGAGGGCAGGTTGCAGGATCCGAGTCGGTTCCATCAAACCCTCATCATCATCTCGTCACTGAGAGAGGACGTGTACCGGGTACGGAGACAAACAAAATCTGGTGTCAGGGGGGGTTACATCGTTTGTCGATGTGCGTCTGATACATACCGTACCTCAGGTAGGTGGTTTTGAGGGCAAAAACAAGCCTTGGCTTGTGACCTGTCGTCTTGCAAAAGGCTGATGGAGCTGAGAGGAGACGGGATGAAGGTACAACGACGACAACAAACGCCTGAATCAATCCGCCGCGCGCCACCGAGGACAATAATGAGATATCTTCTGACTCTGTCCCTTGTCCCTTGTCCCTTGTCCCCTGTCCCTACCTGGTAGATTTGACAGCGCAGAGGGCCACGATCCGTCATGGCAACGTAAACTTAGCTTTTGGTACGTGTATGAGTATAAGCTTTTGGAACATGAAGTGCTTGACAGGAATTTGACGTGTGGGCAAGAAACAGTGTAAAACGAAAGGTAAAAAAGGTGAATGAGATTGCAAGATGCAAGACCAAGGGGGGATACATACATCATCACTTTACATCATACCGATTACCCATGTGCGCTTCCTGACGGCAGGGGTGACCATATATGATACAAAGTTCGGATAAAGCTGAGATGCTAAGGTACGTAGTGTACGTCGTGCCTAGAAAGTGTGACAGCCAGACAGATGGGCCATACAAACCCTTGCAGTAGTAAAACCTCACCCTGTATCTAGTTAGATAGGTCAATCGCACTCTGCATAGGACAAAGGCGAAGCGAAGGAAGCTCCAGGCTAATTGAGCCTTGCACAGCACAGCAGCCTTGCAGATTGGTACTTGAACCTGTCGTAGGTCACGTAGTTCCTATCCGTCGCCAGGAGTAGGACGATCGACGTTCCGGCGTGCCGCGGCGCTATCATTGTTGACAGTCCTCCAAACATACAGTACGGAGTACAAGCAGCGAAAAAGTCGGTGTCCCAGCTCAAGCGATGCGGTGAGGCTGCGCAAGGAAGATCATACCCAGGACCTCCTACCACTAGGACAACGAGCCATGCTCGACCGCAACCTGTAAGACTCACTGGACTGTCTGCATGGAAACCGGATATCTCTTTGGGGATTCTGTTCCTCGGTCCGGATTGCCAGTCTGCAATATTCACGCCAAGCTGAGAGAGATGGCCATGGATGAAACTGTGAGATGGCCATGATGATCATTACTGTGAACTGGAAAACCGTTGATGTTCCGTAAAAGACCAGTCCAGTTGGAAGTTAGAACAACCCACACTCCCCCCCCCCCCCCCCCCCCCCCCCTCCCCCCCGACCTCTCTCCCCCTTGCAAGTTGATTTGAGCCTGATGAGCCACCCCACCCTCGGCATATGCCAAAGGCATTCCGCCCGCGCCCAAGACCCAAGTAACTTGCTGCAAGCAGCTATTGGCGTGCCAGCCACCGCAAATATACTCGTAATGAATCGATCACGGTACCATCATAATGGACATGCAGTGGTAGTTCGTACCCGGTCGTTATCGCCTACTAGTAAAGTCAAAGCTAAGCAGCAAGCCTCGAGACGGAGATACACTTCCAGAATAGACGGAGGGAGAAGAGAGGGAGGCGAGCTCAACAAGGCGTTTTAAAAGTCCGACGGGCTCGGTTCCAGCGACAAGGTACTGTACGATTATTGTACCACTTTGGGACAAGGGTGTCCAGCTGCGGTTCCGATCAGAAATACACAGTACGGATACAAATAGCTGCTTAGGGTTAGTACCAAGTAACTTTTACCTTGGTGATGGGCCATGACAATGCCCATATGGCCATCAAACTGTGGGCGCACCCGTTCACCACACCCTCCCCTTTGAGGGGAGGTACACTTCCCAAAGGAAAAGGTAAGGTAACTTTTACAAGCCCAGGCCGCTAGGTCGGGGAACGGCTGGGAGGGCGATCATTGCTAGTCTCAGAGGCGGCGCGGAGCCCAATTGCCGATGGCCTGGTGACTTGCTTTTTTACGAAGTTGAGTCGCATCATCATGATGGCCCGGGGGTGTGATAATTCCGGCTTGGAAAGCATGGGGGTGGTCTTCGACAAGGTCCAATCGAAGACGGTGCTCGTGGCGATTTGCCTCGTTGAAAACGCATCGCGCCATCACATGAAGGAGGCTGTCACGTTTTGGATTTCTCCCACTGGACACCGCTTCAGCCACATTTGCAGGGGCCGGCGTGATGACGGTGGTGGTGGTGGTGGTGTTGTGCATCGGCTCAGTTGCATGCAGCCGTGGTGCGTACATGATACTGAAGGGATTGCCAGCCGTGGGATGCCATACTTTATGCCTCTGCCACCCTCCAAAGGCGCCGAGTCGCAGTATGTCTAATAAGTTAGCGAGGACGTGGGAGTCGGCGGCGGTAGCGTTGTGGCGTGGTAGGGGATACGAGTAGCACCGAACCGGGAGGACCACTGCTGATCGCGGCTCTGCTTATGTGTGCATCGTCTGAGACGGAAGGCAGCGCCACGGGCTCCCGTGCATCGGGAGATACAGTACGGATCAAGCTTGCGTTGTAGTGTATTCTAGGTACTTCATAGCCATGAGGGGAGCAGAGCAGTAACTACTCGTAGTTGTGTTAGAAGGCTAAATTCAGGTACAATACCTACAGGAGGAACCGATACCGAGCACCGCGTTTGACCGTGTTCGGGGCAAGATCCGGGTTGGGAACCAGAGCGTTGGGGCACAGACCAGAGGCAGACGCCATGGTGGCTAACAATACGAGCAGTACATAAAGGATATCCAACTCTGCCTTGTGAAAGACTTTGGTATAGCCAAGGACGAGCAAACACGCACATGTCAGTGCTTCTTCCACTTGACTCGACCATGACCGGGTACTGGCTACTTCAACAACCTTGGTACTGTACATACAGTCTCCCAGAAAAAAGCCTCTCGCCGGGCGTGGGATGATGATTCTGTACCAATCTCCCTCCTGAAGGCGATCAATCCATAACAATGTTGCTAGCATGTATCACCGTGGAGGTTACTCCGTCGAGCGTCAGCTGGACATGCAAAAAAGACCCAACGCGGAAGGGAAAAAGGGCGAGAAGTCGCACGTGGACGCGTTTAGTCTGCACGGGGAAGCCGGATGAATCTTATTAGCAAGAGGGCAGCTTTGTGACACTCGCTTACTGGCTCAATCTGGCTGAAATTCACAGGGCTGCGGAAAAACTCAACTTTGCAGTCAACGCGGCAGGTCGAGCAAACGGATGTCCCGAGGGATGTCCCGAGTCAGCTGCTCTGACAACTCAAATTGATGGTTCTTATTACGAGATCATACAGTAGTAGAGTTGGGTTTTTCTCTGCACGGCACAGTACTCGTACTTGTAACTTCAATTCCTGCAAGCCCCCTGAACGCTGTCTTTGTCTGGTGTGGCTGAGGGAAGACAGACCAACACACAGATCCGTGCCGGGCATGTGACTGGCACCCAGATGACCTTTTCGGAATATCGTATCTCCGAACGGCGCGCTTCTCAACACTTCTCACATGCCATTCTACCGTTGACCCCCCCAAGGGATCGCGCGGTAGGGACTTCCTTGGTAACTGCGAGTACTACCTAGGCATCCGTATGTAGACGAGTAGGTGCTCTGAGATCTTGGCCTCGTACCGACGGTGAGTTGCTCCTCTGCCGGATTCAGACAAGAAGCCGTGAGCCGCGAGCAGAACTCTGTACCAGGTGGGTGAATGCGGCGGTGCCTGGTCAGGCGTTGTCGCTGTGACGATGCCTGGGTGAGGTACTCGGGGCTCAAGTCTTGCACAGCACATTGGAACTCAAGGCTATTGGATTGAACCGAGCGAAGCCAAATTGCCGGGCGGGTCGATTAACGGCCTGTCATTTCAAATGCAATTCACCTTACCGAGACGGTCTCGAAATCCTCTTCCCTGCACCGTCTCTCGTTTTCGTCCCTCGGCCCTGGACCCGAGTGCGCTAGTGGCCTTAGCCCAACTAGTCGACTGGCCCCGTAACGTCGGCTTTAGCGCAGAGGCCCGCCCTGTTCTAGGTGTTCTAGGGACTAACGGGCTAGTCGCCCTGGGCCCTGACACCTGGTGAAGCCGTCCACGGCCATGAAATTCTACCCGAATCATGCTGACCACTGGCCGACACCCCCCCCCCCTGGCGTTGATTCTTTTTCGTGTCCTGTGCCCTGTGCCCTGGTGTTGCCCCATGGCCTCGCCTCTGCCATTGCCCTGGTCCCCGGCTTGCCCTCCACCTGGGCCCGTGATGCTGAGTTACCCTACCTGGGTAGTTATACCGCTTCCCTTCCCCAAAGCGCATCTCTCTTCCACCTACTTACTCAACATACCACCACCACCCACCACTTTTTGTCCATGGTTGATTCCATGGCCTGCACCCTCGCTTTCCGCTCTGCACTCTCTGCGAGTATACGCTTCGTCCCTCTGTCGACCCTTTAGCACCTCCTCAACCCGCCTGCCCCCCTCGCGTTCCCCAGAACACCCGTCCCAACTGATCGGAGCCGATCTCAGAAATTGCGTCACAAGCCGATCACTCTCACTTCCCACCCGTTTGCCGACATCGAAGATTGCCGGCGACGCAATTGCAAGCGGTGCCGCTCTACTCCCACGGCACTCTCTCGCCTCGCAACCACCGCCCTGCTCACCCTCGCCCACTCCCGACCAGAGAAGACGCTCAAAATGGCGTCTTGTCCGGTGCCCGAAGTCCTGCAACTAGACGCACAGAAAATGCACCAGATCGATCCTGCAAACGCAATCAGTCTGAAAGCAATGTGGACAATGTTCAACAAGTGTTCCGAGACGATCAAAGAAGGCCACCGATATGAGAACATGAGCTGGCGGGTATGGTCTCGCGAGTCCTTGTGTGTAACACCCGTCGATTCACCGCCCGCAACCTCCCGGGCCCCCTCGCTCTCCAATTCCTTCTCTTCGGACGACAGCCTGAACGACAAACCAGTATCGACCCGATCGAGATCCTTTGGCCAAGAGGAATGCGCCAGTTCGCTCTCCAAATCACGCCACCTGACACCCGATGCGCTCGAAAAGATCATGGTGACGATAAAAGAGAAGACGGCCCTCGGCCCGTTGTCCCCCTCCATACAAGCCAGTGTTCCCACGCTCCCCCCGCCCACGTCCGTGCCGCCAAACGTCGAACCAGAAGACGAGTCTGGGCCTCTGCACGATTCGACCGAATCGTGTTTGTCCGCGACAACAACTGCCACGAGGAGTACGATGGCACGCCAGAGCGAACATCGCGATTCAGACACCTCGGTCTCCTCAGATGGCCTGATACGTTCTGGATCCGTTGTCCATGGCTTCTCTCCAGCTGCTTCGTCCTTCCAAAAGCGCAAGGCAAGCATTGGAATGCACCCGGTGCCTTCGTCCCAGCTGAATATTGCAGCCCCCCCTGCAGTCAAGGCCGGCATCTTCACCCTCGGTGGCTCTTCCGAGGATGACGAGTCGTCCTTCGAGCAAAGAGTGCTTTCCCACAAGGCGCCCCCGCCGAGGAGCTCACTCTCCCAAAGCCTAAGTAAAACAACCTTGCCAGTGTCCCAGTCGAAATTGCAGCCCAAGCGAACGTCGTTTAAAGATGTTGTTGCAGAACGAAGAATCCAAGAAGATGCCGAGAATGATGAGGGCGCCATCGAGAGTAGCGACGAGGAAGACGACACCGACGAAGTCATCGAGTCTGCCATTGATGAAGATGAGGAAGAAGACGGTGACGAGTGGGAAGATTCCAATTCAGACGACGGCGCAAATGGAAAGGTCCTGCAAGAACCTCATCTTTTCCGCCGTGTCGATAGCCGTCCCGACTTGGTGTCACGACGGTCGATGCTGACATTAGCGCTCAATAAGTCCCAGACTGGACTCAACCACGCCTACTCACAACCCGCACTACACCGGACACGTGCCCCATCGACACACGCAGAGACACTGGCCGGCTCTCCTGATGAAGATGACGGTATGATGATGCATAGTTCGGGCCGACGACCGATACAGATCCCGCCTCCTAACCCAACCGCAAAATCCGTGGCACATTCTCCTCGGACCACGAGGAGAAACATGTTGTCGACGGAGCTGACGGAATCTCTACGCAAAAATCTACTCTGGGAAAGACAGCAAAAGTCCCAGACCGCCAATGCTTTCCTCAAGCGACGAACCGCTCAGAGCATGGCAAATCTTCAATCTCACACCATGCCACCACAAACAGGGCCACCCAGAGCACCTCCAGCAGGCGCCCTACAGGAGACTTCCAAGAACAATTCTTGGAATCACTACTTTGACAACCCTTGGGAGTACCATGCCAAAGGTTGGTAGGGCAAGATTTCGAACGACTCTTATGGTTTTTAGTCTACGTTTTTGTTTTTGTTTTATCCTTTTTGGCTTGCGTTCCTAGCGATTTTATGCTATGCATGTGTTTATGACCTTGATGCCTACAATCCAGGTATTCAACGGACGACAATCTGGTTAAACTCGGAAAAAAGGGAAAGAAGTGGATGGTGAGGCTATACCTGCCCCATCCCCGGTTCTACTTGGGCAAGACTGCGTTCTTAAATTGAGAGGGCGTTGTTCCTCGGAGAGGCTGAGAAAGAGGAAGATGTATTTGGATCCATTCCATGCACAGCGAGGGTCACCTGGTGTTTTTTTTGGGTCTTGGCAATGGAGCAATCCGCAGGGACCAGACGGATTACGTTTGCATCGTATGATGTTGAACAAGGCCGCCCCAATGTACTACTACTACTATATATCACGACATGTCTTTTGATCTTGTTGGGGTCGAGTGACCCTGCCTAAGGGGTGTGTTGAAGATAGGCCAAAGCTAGGCTAAGCTCAGCTGCCTGCATTATTTTAATGCCTTGAATGTGTATGAATAGTATTACCACGTACCGAGAATTGTAATTCATCCCATCAGAGACATACCACGTTGTTTCTCGTTTTGTGTAGTAGTCACTAGGTAGTAGTAGTAGTGACTTTGGGGTGTGATGGGGCGTGTTGGGTCGGTTATCGGTACCACCACACCACACCACACCACACTCGCTTACTAGTTGATCAGAGAGGTCACAAATTCAAGGCACCAAACTTATCGTAGTAGGTAGGTAGGTACTGTAGGTATCTCAGGGTTCCAGGCTAGGTAATGGGGTAATAAAGGTAAAGAGGGAGGTTTCTCTTTGTTTTTGTTTTTTGAGTCTTTTTGTCGAAACATGAGCCGCGAGTATCCGACGAGCTATCGGTACTAACTAACTACTGTACTTACTGTCTGTACCTACTGTACCTACCCGGTAACCTTGTGACCTACCTAGGTACAGTAACTAGTTAGTATTGTGTGTATTGCAGGTACCTACCTACCTACCTACCTACCTACCTACCTACCTACCTACCTGGTGAGTACCTAGTCGGTACCTTTACCCGGTAAGCCCTGTAAATAGTTAGGTTACGTACGGTATTTGAGCAAGCAACGCCCAAGGGGTACGGTTTCGGACGTAACTCGCTCTCTTGTGCAAAATGGTGTGTGAGAGAACCACATCAGCTTCGTAGGCAAGACACAGGTCGGTATCGTAGGTAACGTAGACTCCGAGCTGCTTACGGCGCAGTTACCTAGTACTGTGGTGGCACTGTGTGTATCGAGGGGGCCTGTAGCGATCGGAGTGCGGAGATTTCAAAAAAAAAAAAAAAAAAAAAAAAAAACAAGAAAGAAACCCAATGGACAGAGAGGCCCTGATAAGGTCCTAGGAAGGAAGATGCCGTAACATGTAGTTTGTCATTTCTTGCTGGTGAGAGTCGTCCTCGGTGGCTGTTTTGCTTTCGCGGAGACTGGCGTCTCGCATCATGTTGACCTTTGGTCATGATGTGGGATGTTCGCGCAGCCTAATGATGGGACAAAGAGCACAAGGTGACGTGGTATCTCAACGAATAATCGCTTTCCTTTGATTGTTATAGTAGCAGATCGAGACCATGATGTGCAGACCGAGTTGTTTAAGAAGCTTCGTTGTGAATGAACGGTATGCGCCATTGCCGACGAAACGCCCGGAAGTCACCGTAGCACCACCGGAGATGTTTACTGGAATGTTCAAAGGAATGTTCAAAGGAATGTTTGCAAATATGTTTCTAGTTACTGTTCACCCCTTGTGCCCGTGACATTGGAAACACGGTTAGCCAATAAATTTTTGCGGAGCAGCCGGACAGTTGTCCACCATGCTATCCTGTTATCGGCACTGCCTGCGCTCGCACGTACGAGGTATTCCCGTCAAGGGAGAGACCTCATGGTTTGAGATCCATACTGCAATGACTGCAGCAGTTATTCGTGTTGTGGTTGTCTTTGCCATATGTGAACTTTAATATTGCACTTTACCTTCCCTATGCGGACTAGCAGCGGATGTGTTGTACCCCTATGATATAAGGTACTGTACCTACCTCCCTACCTGTGGTACCTTAGCTATGCATGATCGTACAGGCATAGTTGTGCGGGCGCAATGAGGACATACATACAGGCATGGTATGCATACTAGCCATCGAGGTAAGCAAAGATGATCCCTAGCTACCTACCAGGTACCTGGAGACAGTCACAAACGTTTTTCTAGAGTCACCACAAGTCAGCCAGCAGGTCAAAAACGAACTGCAAAGGCGAAGTGTGGCACGATTAAGAAAAAGTAAAATTACTTGGTACCTAGTAGCAGCTAGGTCTCTTGTAGATCTCATCGGTTCCTTGTCTCTGGAGTGCTACCCTTACGACTGACTATACGACTCTACGTAACTAGCTTGTCACAATATCGTGCAGAGCCCAGCCTGTCATACCTAGTCAGGATGGATAATTCTGGTTAGTACAAGTACTGGAACTGTGGATTCGGAAGGATGATAATGTGACTTGCGACCTGACACTAACTAGTTGGCTACCTAGAAAGACGAGTACATTGCCGTCTCTTGTGTTCTAGAACGTGGATTCATGATGGAGCATTCGGGAAGTGTAGGAGATTCACGTTCACCAGCAGTGTTCGGGACGTCGTGATGGAGTCCTGGCCCTAGGCTGTGTGTGTCAGGTAGGATACAAATACAGTGTTTCTACGGTGTTACAAGTCATTTGATATATGTTGACAAGAGGCGGTGCAGCTGAACATCAGTGGGAAGTGTAACTACCCACTAGGCAAGTACCCGAGAAGACAATCATACCCCGAAAGCTGAAGTCGACAAAGATAACCTGGTTGTGTCCGTACAACGTGTGTGTATGTTGTGTGTGGCGAGGCTGAGTAAAATCCAAGTCCCATCAATGCAATAGCCCACAGCAGTCACAGCCACCATCCAAAATCCACCCAAGCCACAAGTGGAATACACTATACAATACGGAGTACCAAGCATGGGCATTTGTCGGCTCCAAATCCAAAACACGCCTCGTCCGATCCTGACGCGTACGGTAACTGGAGTTGCTGGTCAAGTGAAAAAAGAAATTCGAGTCTCTTTCACATGAAGGACTGGCCAGACTTGTCTAGCCCGCTGATCCGATCCACACATACTCCCGTCTTACCTGGCGGCTATTGACTTGTCTTCTTGACGCTCATATGACAGCGATTCCTTTCCAAACAAGTCCCGGTCCCTGCAGCGAGTGGGCAAGTCCAGGCCTCGAGATGGGCAAGTCCTCCTGATGATCATTCTGTCCAACTAACTCGACGCTCCGCAACGCAGCCTCACTCCCCTCTAGACCGCGTGAGCAGTCAAGGATTGCGTTCAAAAGACAACTGGGGTCCTTGTACAGTACAGTGTCAGCAACCAACAGTGGCAATTACCATGGCCGAGGGGACTGTTCCCCCTTGTTACTCGGAGTCCGAGGATATGGAATATGATGTGGCGATCAGCATCCTGATCCCTTTCGGCCTATACCATCCCGACGTGCATCACGCACTCCGCACTCTGTACCTGACCGTCCTCAAACGCTTTTTACCTTGACGCCGAAATTTTGACGGTCATGCGGATACACAAGAATTGTTGTGTAGAGGTCCGACTGGCCACGGAAAAGACGAAGATTTGCAGGCCGGGACTTTGGCACTTTCGTCATTAACCCCATTCATTGACGAGTTTGCATTTGCGACCTTAGCCGCTATCCACGAGCCCGGAACAAAATTCTGACGCTGCACACACCCTTGATTGTGATTGGAAAAGTCACCCAGGTACACCACCCGGGTATCTCGCAAGGGGTAGCACATTTCGTTAATCCTCTGCCTCGGTGATTCGAATTCCTCGGCGCAGATTTGGTAAACCTTCTACTGACAATTACACCTCAGACATTGCGGCCCAACGGGGCCCAAAACATGGAACCTGGTCGACGTCACAATTATGGGTGCAAAGGGATACCTCTAGTTAGTCATCCCCAGTCGCTGGTCTAATAACGTCCCAAAAATAGGCCTCATTAACCCCAAGAAATCCGGGTGGTAGTACTCGTACAACTGGAACAAAGCTCGTAACGCTTTACGACGCGGACTTTGTGGAGGAACTTTTGCTTCCGGGGGAAAGGAGGTTTCGCTTTTCCAGTGTCATTAAATCTACTAATCTCGGGTTGAGACTACGTCTACTCTGTCTGTATACGAGCTAATGCTTACGGTCCTCCCTACACACGGGTAATATTTCTGGCAGACCGGCAACGAGCACGCAAGGTTCCTCGTTGAGAAGCTTATTGTGAGGCCCGCCGTCGAGGGTCCAATGCCTGCAACCCGCAATCCTTCACCAGCGATGTGCTCTTCCTGACGTATTTCACCGATGATCTGAGCTCTAGACGGTGTTACATATATAGCACTTGTGATCTACTGTTACCGAAGTGTCACAAGCACGCGTGAACCACTCCAGCGCGGTTTGAGAGCCACCGCCTCGGTCTCTCGAATCTTGATTGCGGGCATTTTCCACTTCCCGACTTTGTGGGGCAACCTCAGGAAAGGCGCAAAGGATCAGGCGGCGTTAAGGAGTAGACTTGGACCGTGTGAGTACGGAGTACCAGCCGTAAGAGGTTCCCTTACTCCGCAAGACGCACTTTCTGGTTTGCGGGGGGGGGGGGGAGGTGTCTGGGGGGCATCTACTCGTACGGGCTCGTATACTGGATCAGAAAGTACGACCTTCTCACGTTTCCAGGCCCCTTGATGACCACCACATTCTCCTCCTTCTCGACCCGTGAATTCATCCTCTGGGGAGAAAAGTACGTCACCGGATATGGTGAGTTTCTGCCTCTGCCTCTGCCTCGGTGACATTGTCATTATCCCTTCCAAAGTTCAACGGAGTAGACCCATCAATTGAACCTTTCGATGATACATGAGCAGATCCTTACAGACGCCACCAACGTC